GAGTATCACATAGTCTACAAACTGAATAGTATTTTGTTTCCCTGCTCTCACAAAAAGTTTGTAACAGTGGCAGTAAATATTCTGGTTAGCATTGACTGTGTAGTGAAGCATTAAAGATTTTTAGGATAGTTTGATCTTTTAAATTTATTTTTATATTACTTCCATATATGAAGTCTGCAACTGGAAAAGGAAGAAGGAAGGGGAAGGAAAAATGGGAAGAGAAAAAAAAAAGAAGAAAAAAGGTGCTGTTATCTCACATAACTACTTTGTCTAGGTGACTGCAGTAAAATGCTACTGAAGATATATACTCCGCTTCTTTGCCTCAAGGCAGCTACATACTGATTTCTTGACCTGTATTCTCTACTTTTTTTTTTTTCTCAGAAAACTAAAGGAAAGTTGTTTGTCTTGCTGTTTTGTGATTTAATTGTGCAACAATTAAAATTAAATTTGATTTTTTTTTTTCTCAAATCACTTGATCCAGTCTTTGTAATACACAATCAGAGAAGATCTGTTCTGTCCAATTAGACATTTATTACAGAATTCTGTAAGTTTTTCTTGACTACTCTAAGTTCTCCTTACTTGTAATGAAGAGAAAAAAAGCATCTTTAGGCTGTTATTTATTTTGTCTTGAATCTACAACTGCTTGCTGTTTTCAGTCTCATCTTGGAAATGTCTGTTTTTTCCACTGATAATTAAGTGACTTCGAGTCATTATTTCAGATGGTTTTTGATGACAATTCTGTAAAAATCCATATTAACTCAAAAGCATTCATCTTAGGTAAAGGATTAAATTCTATCCAGCACTTGAGTAAGTCAAGTATTTCTGAAGGATTGAATGAGCTCATAATCCCAACATTTTTTAATGATCCATGTCATAGGTTGTGCCTTATACTCTTTGGCTGAGTCTTATATTCTCTGTCTGAGCCTGCCATAATACAAGCCATCAGGAAACAAATAGCTTTGGAACATCTGGATTTTATAAACTAGATCTTCTGTTTTCCATAAGCATTAGATGCCCTTGACTCCACACATTACAGCAGGCTAAATTATGTTGCATTTCACACTCAGTTTATCCAGGAATACTCGTCTCTTCCTGCTCCTGTATTAGCCCCCCCTCCTGGCTGTCCCATATACTTTCCAACAAAAGAACAGAAAATTGACTTTCAAAGGTCTTTACCTAGTCAGGTAATTTAATAACATACTTCTTAAGCATCTTAATTAGGTTGTTGTTCTGAGACTTGCCTCTCTTCAAAGACAACATAAATAATAAAATATAAACTTTTAATTTGGATGCTTAAATCTATGTCAAAAGTGAACAAAGTGAGAAAATACAGTAGTTTACAAAGCACTGTTTCTGTTTCCTTGAACAAATTTTCCAAAGATTTCCTCAGCACATGTTAACAATGCCAGGGAAAATATTTAAAAAATGATTTTTAAAATGCTAGGGCTTGCAGGAAAGAGAATAGTTTGAGTATGCTTAGGAGTTTCTGAGGAGAGGGATGCAGCTGCAGATGGCTAGATGTACAGCAAGGATCCATGTCGGCCCTCCACAGAGTCTCGGCAGTAAGGAGTCAAAGATTCCCCCACGTTCCAGTCCTGCATGACAGGAAACAAAGAAAATATCCACATCAGGATCACAGTTCTGTAGTCTCCAGTACTTAAAGAGATATTTCAACCATGACTCACTACAATTTTTACTGACAAAATAAAACATGTTTTTATAGGTCTTGATACAGAGGTAACAGTTTATATTGAAAATTGTTCTTCATTCTCAATTTTCAGTTGTTTTTTTTTTTTCCCTAGTAACTCCTCCTTCAAGCTCAGCAGATCCTTAGACTTTTTTCTTTTTTTTTTCCTTCTTACAAATACTGTGAATATGCACAGAAAAAGCAGCCCAAATGTATGCAGGCTTTGCTGTACTTACCAAAATTACTCTGAAAGATTTCTGAGGATTACAGGGGTTAAAGAGTCTGGGACTGATTAGAATTCTTGACCCTGATCTTGTATAGACAACTGTCTAACAGTCAAAGTAGTCTTTGGCCATGGGCAGAAGAAGACTAGCGGGATCTATAACTAGCTGTGCAGCCTAGCAGTGATCTTTTGCCCTCTCATGGAGAAGTTTAAATGAATTGAGAGTTTCATAGAATACTGGATTTTAGGTGTATGTGCCACTGACGAGGTGTCTCACTGGACATTATTTGCTTTTCAGTATTTTCATGTTTTCCTTGGCACTGCCCTTATTAATGCACAAGCTTGATGCACAAGCTCTACAGCCTGTAGAAGTTTTCCTTGTTTACTGCTTCCTGTTTCATTCCACTTTTTCTTTGCTCACTGGTTCTTGCAGTTACCTAATAGCAATTTCAGAACAATCAATCAGCAGTCTGTGCAAGCAAATAACTTACCAAACACTTGAACCCTATAATTGTGTTCTGACCTTGGTTTTACTGGAGGTTAGAGTGACAGATTCTTTGCAGCAGTACTATACACTGTTCTGAAAGTGCAGTTTGCCTGCAAAGGGGGAACTTTACTGCAAAGAGAAGATTCAGCTGTAGCCAAAAAAAGCGTAGTAATACATGATGGATTAAGTAACAGTGTAGGAAATGTTGGCAGACAAGGCATCATAGATATAAATAAAGAAAACCTCTTTGTGGTATTGTCCTCTAATCTAGTGCCCTAGATGTCTTCTTATTCCATCGACTTGATTTAACATCATTTTTCTCCCTTGGATGAATACAAACTCATATATGATTGTGGGAGTGGGAATTTTCTCTCTCAGTGTTTAAGTGATCAGTAAACACTAATTGGACCAGAAATCTTCTGTTTTCTAAGATTCGGGATGATAATTTATTCTTCCTTTTTCATCAGTGAACAGCCATCCTAAAGAGAACACTTTGATGGTGGTATAGTGGCGTGCTTTTAATCTGCAGTTAACAGCCTGGAGCAGAGGAGCTGAGGGGAGGCCTCATGGCAACTGCAGCTCCTCACTGGGAGCGGAGGGGCAGCGCTGAGCTCTGCTCTGTGTGACAGCGACAGGGCCCGAGGGAACGGCATGGAGCTGTCAGGGGAGGGACAGGGTGGGTGTCAGGGAAAGGCTCTGCACCAGAGGGTATCTGGGCCCTGGAACAGGCTGCCCAGGGCAATGGCCATTGCACTGAGCTGTGTGAGTTCAAAAAGTGCCTGGACAGTGCTCTCAGACGAAGGGTTTGGATTTTGGGTGGCCCTGTTTGGAGCCAGGGGCTGAATGCGTTGATCCTTGTGAGTTCCTTCCAATTCAGGCTATTCTGTGATTCTGTGCAAACCAAGGGAAGCTGAATGTGAAAACTGTCTAAGGCAACTGGGCAGGAGAACTGATAGTCCTCGTGCTGACCGTGAAAGAACACAAAACATTTTAAAATTTCTAATTTTCCTCCAAATTTGTGGAAGTGGAATGTAACATTATTAAAAGATTTGCAGTGAGATAGTTTTGCACTCTGAAATTCCATCCAGAACATATGAGAAAATGCTGTTTTCCCTATAATTAAGTAAATTAGAAGAGTTAAAGTAGTATGTGAAGTGTAATTCCTACTAGGCAAACGGCAGCCAAAATATACAGATTTCCCACTACAATGTTATTAATACCACCACTTATTATGCAGCCTTTTTAAGAAATATGCATATTTCCATGCATTCCAGGAAAAGTTTTCTGAGACTGGTTGAAGCACATGCAAATTCTTCAGCAGTTTAAAATGAACTAATTCGCCCTTTCTAGAAAATATAAGATGATAGGTTTGAGTTATTGGCAAAAGCTGTTTTAACAGCCTCGGAAGGTTTTGAGTGTGAAGGATGTTTCTGAGGGGAATATTGCAGACATCGTATGTGTGCCTATGTATGTGTATATATGAGCCTGACATGCTCAGAAGAGAAGGATAGTAGTGGGTAGAGAAGCAAATCAAAGCAACAGGACCTCATGCTCTTGTACTTTCTGACATAGAATCATAGAGTCATAGAATTGCTCAGGTTGGAAAAGATCTCCAAGATCATCAAGTCAACCGTGACCTAACCATACTACCCTCACTCTAACAACCCTCTGCTAAATCATGTCCTTGAGCACCACATCTGAACGGTTTTTAAACACATTCAGGGATGGTGACTCAACCACCTCCCTGGGGAGCCAATTCCAGTGCTTCACAACCCTTTACGTAAAGAAGTGTTCCCTGATCTCCAACCTAAACTTACCACCCTGGCGCAACTTGAGGCCATTTCCCCTTGTCCTGTCACCAGTGAGAAAAGGCTCTCACTGTAAGCACCTTTCAGATACTGGAAGAGAGCAATAAGATCTCTTCTCAGCCTCCTCTTCCTCAGACTAAACAGCACCAGTTCCTTGAGTCACTCCTTGTAGAGCATATTCTCCAAGCCCTTCACAATCCTTGTTGCCCTTCTTTGACTTCTCATGCTATGCCCTGCTCAGACATAGAAAGACATTGTCTTGCAATGTATATGTTAAAACAGGGGTTACAAATAAGCACAGGTAATTTGGGGGAGTAGAAGGGAACCACAAATGTAATACCGATGTCTTTGACCAATAGCAATATTGATAAAATTATGAATTGTAGTTAAGACATAAAAAGTGAGAGTTTTCTTGAAATTCATATTGGCCTCAGGAAACATGACAGAAATCACGAAGCTGCTTGTTTAAGAGTATTAGAAAAGAGCAGTGAAGCTGTCTGAGAAGATATGTGAGACAGAGCAAGATCATGAGGACTTTAAAAAGTAAAGATAATATTCATGTTGCTAAACAGAGACTAGTTCTCTAAATTTGCTGCTTAGAATCTTAAAGCCTATTGTGTCTTCCTCATGACATGGCACTCCTTACTCATCAGTACAATCAGTAAAAATGTTAATTGCTATTCCCCTAAACAGATTCCACTTTAGGGTTTATAGTTCTTCAGATTCAGGCTTGTGTAATGAACACGTGGTGGGCCTGAGTTACGGGATACCTTCTGTATTTCATCCATCTTTCAGACGCTGTCTCCCTTCAGGTCAGTATCATATCGGCTCTGTAAGAATCTTCATACAGCTTATGAGATCACTCGTAACCCCAATCACGGACAGTTTGGGAAGAAAGCAGACATAAGCACTGCAGAGTTTTCCCTAGTGACAGTTGTTGGGAGAGGGGCACCACAGAGTGATTATAAGAATAATGCACAGTGGACTGTGAAGTGAAAAAGGAGAAAGATGGTCTTTCATGGGTTGTGGAACAAATATATGTATTAAATTTCAATCAACTATAAAAGCATGTTTTAACTATGAACATTTAATTATTGACAGAAGGCAAAAAGCGGGAAGAGGGAGGAAAGATAGGAACTTAAATTATCAGAATAACACCTTTTTCAGAAAATATGGTTAGCAAAGATGAATCTCTCTCTTCAGAACCCACCTAAGTATCTGGCTCTGAAGATGTAAGAAGGATCATAAACGTGAAAAATCAGAAAATGCATGCCAGAATTTAAAGGAATGACAAAATGAAGCCATTACAAACAAGTTGGGTTATGCCATTAAAAACTTATTTATTTGGGGGTATTTTGTGTAGCTACAGACTTCTAATGAACTGAAAATAAACAAAACATAATGTGAGACTACACAGCATAGGTTCCCACACACATTTTCTAAGATTCTTCGTTTTTCAGAGGGTGAAGTGGTGGTGGTGATTTTCATCTGATGTGCTTTTCACTTGAATTGAAAGACATAGACTGCAAAATCCATGGCAAGCCTTTATTTCTCTGACAGAGCTCCCTTTCAGACATTCTCAATTCTAATCTCAGTGGAGATTTTATGTAATAGACTGAAGCACCAAATGAGATGAAGCATCTCATTTCCCAGTGCTGCTTGCTAGCACAAAAACAGAAGCAAGTATACACTAACTTGTGTCAGATAATTAGCGTGCACTAATAGAAATTAATCAAAATCAATAAGCACAGTGTATGCAGCACAAGTGATCAAATGCAAACAGTTGAATTTTCACAGTAATGTAGCTTAAAAATTATTAAATTCAATTAGTAATTCAGCATAACCTGCAGTCATATTCCCCTCTCAGTGTAGTATGGTAGATATTTGAGCAAGATTTGATTCACATCTGGGTACCTTGTTGATATGAAATATCATACAGGCTTGAAGCCAGATGTAAAATTACCCTTATTAGGTGTTTTTCTTTAACAATTGGGTATTACCATGGTGATTAGACCAGATGGAGCATAAATCTTTTCTTCCTTTTCCTATTTTTTCTTTTAAACCTGCATCCTGTCAAAATCCAGTTACCATAACAACTTGGTTTCACTATTTTTTGTTAAATCAAATTCTTTTTATATTCCACCTAGAACTTTTGTCTGGCTAACAAATGAACACAGCTAATTTTTTAGTTAATTATTTGCTGTCAAAAGTCTGTCAACAACTCCCTCTTTTCTTTTCTTTTCTTTTCTTTTCTTTTCTTTTCTTTTCTTTTCTTTTCTTTTCTTTTCTTTTCTTTTCTTTTCTTCTCTTCTCTTCTCTTCTCTTCTCTTCTCTTCTCTTCTCTTCTCTTCTCTTCTCTTCTCTTCTCTTCTCTTCTCTTCTCTTCTCTTCTCTTCTCTTCTCTTCTCTTCTCTTCTCTCCCCTCCCCTCCCCTCCCCTCCCCTCCCCTCCCCTCCTCTCTCCTCTCCTCTCCTCTCCTCTCCTCTCCTCTCCTCTCCTCTCCTCTCCTCTCCTCTCCTCTCCTCTCCTCTCCTCTCCTCTCCTCTCCTCTCCTCTCCTCTCCTCTCTTTTTTTTTTTTTTTAAAACATTTTTCCATGGGGGAAGGGAGAGAAGGGCCTGTTGTCTTTTGTTTTGTGTGTTTAGTATCAGCAGTGAGTAGACAGAGTGGTAATATAAAACTTCTACAAAACAATAAAAGAGGACTCCCAGCAGAAAGCTTGAGAATCTCAAACCATACTTACACAGACCTCTAATGATATTTTTGAAGGACATTTATTTCCATGAAAATTAAATACTTCTGGTAATTTCACAACATTGGAGCTTTGTGTATGTTTCTCTCTTTGTTTGAACGGCCAATTCAGCTCTTTTATGATAACAGCATAAAACCATATTGCAGTAAAACACCTTCCATTCTGCCTCTTTTTTTTCTCTTGCTTAATATCTATTTGACTTTGTCAGAGAGAAAAGAAAAACAGTGGGAGGTGTGATAAGTTAATATCTAGGAATAAAAAGGTGCTACCTAGCAACATTTCTCTGGAAACTAAATCTCATTTGTCAAGCAACTCTAAAACAGGAGCTACATTGCCCATGGGATTGATAATGGCATACAGAGCTTTTCACTGCAAGTCACTAAAATATAAATTCAGCCTAGGTCAGTAGCAACTGAGCACTGTTACCATCTGACAGCTGTTTAGTGGCCTGTATGAAATGCCTTCTTAGGCATCACACTCTTCCTAGCAGGAACTTGGCTGCATCCCAATTACTGCTAATTGGCTCCCTCGTTAGCTACAGCAAGGAACGAAGGACCATGTAGAATTGCAGATCAGAGGACTGGAAGGAGCATGCAGTGATCCACCAGGCTAGTGGTGTCTAGCCACTTCAACTAAAATATTCCCAACAGTCCTTCCTGGAGTGAAGGAACCTCAACAGAATTCCTTCAGTGTTTCAGGTCTCTTGTCCTTACAGCTTTTTTCCCTCTCCTAAATCTTACCAAAACTATCTTGTTTGAAAAATCCAGGGATTTCTTTTTGTCATTCTATGGGGAATCAACCCATCAAAGAAAGTTATTGGATTTCATGGCCTTTTATTCTTCTGCATTCTTTCCTCCATACTCTTTCCAACTTGCCTTTACACTTTATGAAGTATAATGACCAAAATGAAACATGATGCTCCAGTTGAGGCTTTACCAATACTAACTATAGCAGAATTATTATTTCCATTGCCATACATTAGTACTTGTCCAGCATGGCTCAGATCAAGACGTGCTTTTCTACACCAGATTCTCATGTTGACTCATTCTTTCAGATCTGTACCACACAATGAGCTTGTACATGTTTCACACTTGTAGAATCGCACAATGTTTTGTGTTGGAAGGGACCTTAATGATCACTTAATTCCCTTCTGTGGGAAGGGTTATATTCTACAAGATCAAGTTGCCCAAAGGACCACCCAGCCTGGTCTTGAGCACTTCCAGGACATCCACAGCTTCTCTGGGCATCTTGGGCAAGATGTACAGAGATATTTTTTAGAAAACAAGTTTTCTTGTGTCTCTGACTGGAAATTAAGTTATTTTCTATGAGAGTGGTGAGGTACTGGAACAGGCTGCTCTCTGGATTGTGGATGCCTGTGTTCAAGGCCAGGTTGGATGGGGCCCTAAGCAGCCTGGTCTAGTATTAAATGGGGAGGTTGGTGACCCTACCTGTGGTGGGGGTTTGGAGTTTCATGATCCCTGAGGTCCCTTCCAACCCAGGCCATTCTGTGATTCTGTGATATCGTCTGACACTATTTTCCCTGCTCTGCTACGTTCTCCTGCCTCTCTATTAAAAGACATTATATTAATTACGACATTACACTTTTTGGGGGGGAGGGTATAACTAAGGCAAAAGAATATTTCTGGTTCTCCTGTCATTCATTTTCCTCCACTGTTTTGCAACAGACCCTTTCCTTGCCTTTGTCCTCCTGCTACATTTGTAGAAGTTTTCTTGTCATTTTTTGTGTTCTACTTCACTTAAGAAATCTCATTCTATTCGCTGTATTTCTATCCACTTGCCTCTGCTATTTTGTTGCTATGTTCTATATGCTATTTCACTTTTTAAAAATTCCTTCTTGAATGTCTTTGAACAGCTTTTTATACAGTCAGGAATAGGCTAATAGACTATTATTAAACTTCTCATGTCTTTTTTTTTTTCCTCTGCAGCAAGATATCTTGCTGTTGCACACTTGATAAAACCCATTTAAATAGCTCCCACCTCTTTCATTCTTCTTAATCTCTTACATCAGAAATAACTGAATGTCTTCAATTTAGGTGAGCTAAATGAGGATTAGGATAGGAAAACCAAATCATTCATAAGAGTACATAATCATTCATAAGAGTTCATAAGCCTAGAACAATTTGAAATGCCCTAAGTAACCTCTCCAGCCTCCAGTCTCTATTCTAGAAGGGCATGGGACAGCTGTTGATTTTGTGCAAAATCTTCCAGCCTCATGCAGGTGTTTTTCAAATTCTAGGGAGTCTTGAACACTACAAGCAACCTGTGTTTAAGCATCAGCCAAGCCTATTTTCTTCCACGGGGCTGTTAACTTTATTCTGATGCACACATCTATAGTTAGCCCCACAGCACTCCATATCTCATTCACTATTTTGACCACAAAAAATCTCTTCAGTTATCTGGATGCTTGTTTCTGGTACTGCTTGAGATCCGTAGGCCCTACCTATCCTTCAGGAGAGTTGCAGATATTCTGCAGGGTTCTATGTTATACCTACTAGCTCTATGCTGTTAGGTACATACATATACTATATACTTATGTATGAACCACAGAGAAAAGATGGACAGGATCAATTTGAGACCATCTAGCATTTGTTACCTTGAATTCAATGTGGTCCTGTCAGGTTTGAAACTAAACGGTATTGTCTGAAGATGTCAGGAGTCTTGAGAGCTTCATGAGGCCCTCTCTACATGTAATGAAAAGGGGAATTACTGCATTTAAAAAAATCATGTACATATAAACTTACTGCTTGTATTTAATCTCTTGTGACATCAGCGTAGGTTAAATTCATGCAATTTCTTCATCATTCCACAGTGCACATTCAGAAACAACTCTCCATTCACACTGATTTCTTCGGCTGAGGTGCACAACTAAGTTTTGAGTTGCTTGAGTTTTGAGTTACTGCCCCAGCCATGTTAGATTATGTGATAAATCACTCACAAGGGATCTCAGAGAGACCATGGCAGGAGAGACAGAACACATCATGGGATACAGAGAAAGAGCAGCCTAGGGATTGCATAGTACTCATGGGAAGAACCAAAGTTGGTAACTGTGAGTGTTTTTAGTAGTTTCTGAAGAAACAAATATGAAAACGTGAAGCAGTTAGGGGATAAAAAGAAGCAATTGCTTGTAAATAACGGACTGCTTGGTATATCTGTCTTGGTGTGCCCTGCATCTGATCAGAGTAGTCTGTCCTGTCTTCTTCTTAATTTCGTTTCTAATGCCTCCCTGGGAGAAGGTCTGTATGAGGGCGTGAGTACAGCAGCTGGAGTTGAACCATGAGTTAGAGGTGATGTGTCTATGGTGCAGCAATTGGAACAAATGCAAGTGTGTGAGAGACTGTGATTGTTAGTGATGGTAAAACTGGATGAGCCAGTGAGTAGGTGACGTGGCCTGGAAACTAGGGCATGAGCAGGTTCCTTAAGTCTGGCACCTGTGCATCTCTAGGGCTGAAAGCATGGGACAGTTGCATGCATGACTGTCTGTACCAAACGCCTGTACCTGACCAATCTGGTGGCCTTCTATGATGGAGTAACGGCTTTGGTGGATGGGGGAAGAGCGATGGATGTCATCTACCTCAACTTCTGCAAAGCCTTCTACATGGTCCCTGACCACATCTTTATCTCTAAATTGGACAGGTATGGATTTCAAGGACAAATTGTTCGATGGATTAGGAATTGGCTGGCTGGACGCAACCAAAGGGTTGTGATTAATGACTCTGTGTCAGGGTGGAAGCCAGTCACAAGCGGTGTCCCTCAGGGGTCAGTCTTGGGACCAACAAGACTCTTCAACATCTTCATCAATGACACAGATGATGGCATCCAGTGCACCCTCATGGGTTTGCAGATGAAACCAAGCTGAGCGGTGCAGTCACTATGCTGGAAGGAAGGGAAGCCATCCAGAGGGTCCTGGACAGGCTGGAGAAGTGTGCCCATGAAAACTTAGTGAGGTTCAGTAAGGCCAAGTGCAGGGTGCTGCACTTGGGTTGCGGCAATCCCAGGTATTTATACAAACTGGGGGAGGATCTCCTGGAGAGCAGCCCTGCAGAGAAGGACTTGGGGGTCCTGGTAGATGAGAAGCTGGACATGCCTGCAGTGTGAGCTTGCAGCCCAGAAGGCCAACTGTGTTCTGGTCTGCATTAAAAAAGGGGTGGCCAGCAGTGAGAGGGAGGTGAGTGTTCCCCTCTATGTTCCCCTCTACTCAGCTCTTGTGAGGCCCCATCTGGAGTACTGCGTCCAGGCCTGGGGCCCCCAGTACAAGGAAAGACATGGAGCTCTTGGAGCAGGTCCAGAGGAGGGTTACTAAGATGATCAGAGGGCTGGAGTACCACTCCTATGAGGAAAGGTTGAGGGAACTGGACTTGTTTAGCTTGGAGAAGAGAAGGCTCTGGGGAGACCTCATTGTGGCCTTCCAGTACTTCAAGAGAGTGCATAAACAGGAAGGTGAATGACTGTTTACAAGGGTGGATAGTGATATAACAAGGGGGAATAGTTTTAAACTGAGACAGTGGAGGTTTAGGTTAGATATTAGGAGGAAGTTTTTCACTCAGAGGGTGGTGACGCACTCAACAGGTTGTCCTAGGAGGCTGTGGATGCCCCATCCCTGGAGGCATTCAAGGCCAGGCTGATGTGACTCTGGGCAGTCTGGTCTGGTGGTTGGTGACTCTGCATATAGCAGGGGGGTTGAAACTAGATGATCATTGTGGTCCTTTTCTACCCAGACCATTCTATGATTCTATGATTCTACACACTGAAGGAGTAGAATTACAGTCCTAGCAGTTCATAAGTTCAGATGTCTGAAGTGGAAGACTGGGATTCAGTGGGAAGATCTCTCTATAGACTCACCTTGTACATATGTGTACATCACCGTAATCTCACTGGTGGACTTCCAGCTTGTTCAGCGAGAGATGGTAATAGGATTAGGATATTGATGCTGTCTGTGTTCATGTGGATGCTCTGAGTGTCTGTCCAAGACCTATGCACCCAGCTATGTATACGCGTATATATACATGTAGTCTGTGTGTGTGCCTACTGGAAAAACATCTTCAGCCTTGATATTGCCTGGACTCAGAAAATAACCTTGCCTCTCTCAGGTGGCTGGATTTGTCACGACATATTTTCCTCTAACAAGCTGGTCTCCCTGTGCTCCAATTTTAAGGCGCTGGGAAGAATACCAGCATGACAAACTGGTGATCTCTGTTGGCACTCTTAGATACTCTGTCTTCATATGTGCTACTGAATGTCCAGTATGAGAACTTTAGATTAGCACCAGATTCTTCTGCTTTCCTCCTGTAAAGTGCGTTAGAACTCCAGTCACTAATCATCTGATGTAAGGAGGGGCTCACAAAGTGACAGACACCAAAAAACTCTTAAAAACAGACTTGTTATCAGAAGGTCTTGCCTGAGGATGAATTATAAATAACTCAAAAAGTGAGACAAATTTCTGGTTCGTAGTGTTACTCTTCTATCCTTAAAGACTTATTAAAGCATTGTCTCTCTCTCGATGACAGTTGCAAGGAGCTGATGGAAAATCCAGGCTGTTAAGTGCATTTATAGATGTTGAGGAAAATATCATACAGTTCAGTACCAGAGCTTTTAGGGCTTTTATCCCATCAGCAGTGCCTTTTGAAAGACTGGTCTCTTCTAGGTTTGCAGCAGAGATCTGCACAGTTGTACACTGTAGTCAATCGTATATTTTATGGCCACTATGGATATGATGAAATATTCTTCAAGCATAGCACATTTACCTGAAATGAGCTTTTAGCTTGAAAGAATGATAATCTGTTTTCTTACTCTGTGAAATTCTTAAAAGGTTCAGGAAGCTCAAAGTGGCTTCCAAATCGTCAATCTTCACTCAGCACAGGAAGCAGAGATCTCTAGCTCTATCTGGAAACAATCTATTTACTGGACATGGAAAAATTCCAGCACATCCCCCTGTTCCCAGAAGATTCCTTATAAATGTCACATCACGTTGGTTTGACAACAAAGAAGCTGTTCATGAAGCTGTGGAACTTCAGAGCTGTTCTCTTCATCCAAGCTTTGAGGCTGTTCAAGTGGCCATTTGCAACTGCAATTTCATCAGAGCTGTCACGACATTTTACTTCTCCCCAGTCAACATGGGAGCTGCTGTACCTTCCCTGCCATGCTGCACAAACTCCAAGAAGGGCCCTCAGCAATGTTGAGCATAGGACAAGCGATGAGCAAAGGCAAGTGCTGTAAGATCACAGTCTCTGTAATTTTACATGAGAGCATAACAATTACAGCTTTTTTGTGTGTGTGCTGATCTTCATGAAAGTCAAGATGATTGAATAGTTTCATACTTCACCTATTTGATTTTAGATAAGAAACAATTTTTCCTTTCTGCTTTTGTCATTGAACATCAGCATCTTCAGCATTACATTGGTCTTGGCAGATAAGCTGAGAACAGCATCGAGTTTGCTGTCATTTTTCTCTGGGCTGTGACTGTGGTGTAGCAGGAGTCTCTGTGTCCCCTGAAGACAAGGCTTGGATCTGGAAAGTATAAGTGATAACAGCTTTCTTCATTGTCTGACATTTTATTTCACTCTGTAATTGCATGAAAATTTCATGCTGCTTACTAGATATCACATTGGACAGGTTTCCCAAATCCTCTGTATTTGCTAGCAGCACTGGTATTTTTCACAAGCAGCAAGGCTCTTGGCAGTGTATTTCCCACTACCCAGTGCTAATGTGCGTAGATATCCTAGAGGACGCACACCCAGTGAAACTGGCAGGAAGTGTGCACCATATTTGCAAAACGCACCATCTTTGGTCTTGGAGTAAGCCAGATTTTTTTCTGAAATTAGATTCTTAAGCCCTTTGTCAGGAAAGCAGAAAAGCTGGTCTCAAGGAGCCATAAGTTCTCCAACACCTCTACCTTCTGGTCACTACTTCTCCTTTCATCCGACATTGCTCCTTTGACTGAGAACTCAGTAGGATCTGTGAGGTGATGCAGTTAGCTCTGGACTGCTGCTGTACTGCTGTCCAAAGTCAGAGCTCTTCTGCTCATTTCATTAACACCAGTAGATATTTCCATAGATGCCATGCCATTTGCCTTCCATTTCTTACCACTGCATGTGTTTTTTTTCCTGACAGCAGAAACATTTAGGCCTTGTCAGACTTGTTGAAATAAAGTATTAAACAAAGTAGTAGAAATGATATTGCTAGTCACTGTTTGTACCAAGCAAATGCTCTCAGAAATAGAGCCACAGTTATCAGTCATTCATGTGGACACACACTGTACTAAGTGGATTGCCTGCTGTGACTTGGGAGATAGCCAGAGCACATCTAAGCCCACTCTAGTGCAGCATATCTAGTGTTGCCACAGCCTTGGATGAGTAAATGATACATTTCACATACATAATCCCAAGAAAATGCCACTGCAGGGGTGTGGAGAGCTTAGATATCTGCCAAGGTAGTGACAAAAAGACGTTTATCCTCCCCTCTACTGAAACGATTACTTCTAAAATAACTGTTTGACAGTAATAGATGATTTCCACTTTATTCAACTGGAAAGGTAGCAGTGGAGAATTTTTACATGATTCCAACCTCATTCTGTTCCTCAGAATGACTTTAACATGGGTATCATATCTTCACCAGTTAAAGAGAAACTTCCAGTCATCAAATTTATGTTGGAGGATGGAGAGCATCAGAAAGGAGATGCCACTGTTGGCAAACTTGTGGAAGCATTATTTAATCTGAGGATGGCCATCTCTTCTCCTTATGCTCTCTTGTAGGGTTTTCTCCATGGCACCCTTCACATTTTTCTTGTTATATTTGCTTTGCCTGTACCTGTACTCATTAACATTTGTCATAAAACACTTCATTTCTTTGCTTCCAGAGACCTCACCAAGAGACTGATTTTGAAGTGGACTACAGAAGACATTTCCAACTCCAATTTTTTTTTTTTTTTTTTTTACTTAATTACATTACCTGAACTTCATAGGGAAGGATCTTGACACGACAGAGATCTCTGCTTCAAGGCTTAGAGGTGCCATTTTCATTCCCCACCTAGTAACAAAAACAGAAAGGTTACTTTTTTTCTCCTCTTTTCATCCCCTCTGCTTCAATAATGCTATTCTGACCATTTCTTCCTAGTATCAGATATAATTTAGTCATGCTAAACTTGACCTGTCACAGCTTCTTAATGTTTTATCTACCTTCTACGCACTTGAACAAATTACTAAAAAGCCAGTCTAGTGACATTTGAAAAAAAAAAATGCCATTCAGTCATCAGGAGATTCAAATTAAGATATAATACTTAATATAGAGACAGCATTTATTGTTTAAGATTTTGCACATCTTCGTAATGCCATAAATCATGTCTTACTTTTGGGGGAAAAAAGTCATTTCAAGCACTTAATAAAAATCACATTTAGATGTGCAGATCTGAATTACTAATACCATTAATATTTCAAAAAGTAAATCCCTAATGGGAAAGTTATCTTCAAAAACATCAGAGAAAAAAAGAAACTTTACATATGCATATATATATATGCATGTTCATATATAGACACTGTATTAGAAAAATATGTATTATGTTTCTTTTACACAGTTTTGTTTTAGCTATCCATGCATCCCTGTAGCATGTTGACATCACAGCTTCTTGCTTTAGGGCAGCCTGATATCCTTCTGTTTTTCTGTTTCACAAAAAAAACAAAACAAAACAAAACCAAAAAAAAAAAAAAAAAAAAAACCTGTTTTATACAAAAGTAGGAAATTACTTAGTTATCACACAATTGGAAGAAAGAAAAAAAAAAAAAATCAAGGTCAGCTCTCTTATTTTCTCCCAGGGCAAGAATGTTCTAAAATCTACATGCTACAGCATTTGCTAACTTGACGTCTTCTGAAGTAGAACTACCTGAGTTTAAATTAGAACAGAAACTGTTTCGTTACCACTGATTAAGGAAGGAATGATGATGTTTGAGGGAGAGTTCACAAATGCATCTTAAGTAATGCTGCAAGATAAGGCTGAAATGGTGGAAGTGGGTAAAACACAGTAGGGACTCTATCTCGTTATACTTCCGAATTCTTTTTAATTTTCTGAACTTTACCTTTGACCAAAACCTTCAATACAGATTAAATCTTCCATTTTATGGGCAAAAGCACTCAGTGCCAGAGACTGAACAAGACCATTAACATTTGAACAACCTTGTACTGCTAAAACAGGAGATGAACAGTTAACCCTCTGCCAAAACTCTGTCCTCTGTCAGATGTTGGAGAGAAAAAAAATAGTGGAGGTGCACAGAGTATTAGGAATTTTTTTTTCTAAATTAAGATATGGACCCTTACATTTCCTTTAATAGCAAGAAGATTTAGCAGGAGACAAAGCAGCAGGCAGACTGTGTACCTCAAGGTCCTTTTTATTTTATTTTTATTACATTCTGAAAGGCTTTCAGGGACAGAATGGATTTAGAACCTGCAGTGTCCAAATATCTGTAACTTTTGAGGTTTCGCATCCATTAAACATCTAGAGACATTTATTCCATGTGTTCTCCCAGTCTTTTCCTTCTGTTTGATCCATAGCTATAATCTAGTAAGTCCCAAAGGTATGCATGAGCTATCAGTGAAAATCTGTAGAGGTTCATATTGGTCTTGTGACAAACCTCTTGTATTCCAGGGAAGAAGCCTGACTTCCAGAACCAATATGAGGACTTGGACATAGTGATGGTAGCCATTCTTTCTATGTCTGAAACACATCAACGTAGGTGCTCAGTTGCCCTTCAGATGTATAAAGTACAATATGCAAGCATAACAGATCTTCAAATTCACTTCTCAAATACTGATGCACCTAGTAGATGACTGTGTTGTGCCGACAGACATTTAGAAAATCACACCGCTGAGTATCCTTGGGACCCAGATTCACACACCAGCAGAATACTTTAGCATTATTCTCAAAATCAGACTGAAATCCTGGTTCCTCACTGAGGAAAAGGATACTGCATGCAGCTTGTTACAACTCTCAAATGGATCGTAATGTTTAAATTACAAAATATTTGTATAAAGAGAAAGAGCTATACATAGTTCCACCAAATAGCACCCATAGACCAAATTTAGGACACCCATCCAAAAAACAGGAAAGAAATCTCTGAACACATGATTTTAATACAGAAATCTAAAATAGAATTTGAAGTAAAGCTTCCAGACTTCAAGGAGAAACCACTCCTAAGTATGACTAGTTGTTACACATATGGAGATGGAACTTTCTTTCCCCCCTTTTCCACTGTATTGTTGTTGGAATTTCACCAGTCTCACAGAAGGTGGAACTGCCCTGAAGCAACAGGGACCTTGAACAGTCAGCCCATCCAATCCTCATGAAGTTCAACAAGGCCAAGAGTAAGGTCCTGCATCTGGGTTGGGGCAATCCCACACACAGATACAGATTGGGCAGAGAATGGCTTGAGAACAGCCCTGAGGAGAAGGATCTGGAAGTGTCGTTTGATGAAAGATTCAACATGAGCTGGCAACGGGTGCCTGCAGCCCTGAAGGCCAACTGTATCCTGGATTGAATCAAGAGCAGCGGAACCAGCAGAGAGAGGGAGATGATTCTGCCCCTCTAGTCTGCTCTTGTGAGATCCCACCTGGTGTACTGCAACCAGTTCTGGGGCCCTCAACATAAGGAGGACGTGGAGCTGATGGAACAAATCCAGAGGAGAGCCGTGAAGATGATCAGAGGGCTGGAGTACCTGCCATACGAGGACACACTGACAGAGCTATTGCTCTTCAGCTTGGAGAAGAGAAGGCTCCAAGGGAAGCTTATAGAGGCCTTCCAGTACTTGAAGGGGGCCTGACATTTTGGAAAGGCATGTAGCAACAGGATAAGGGGAAGTGGCTTTAACCTGGAAGATGGTAGATTTAGACTAGATATCAGGAAGAAACTCTTTACTGTGAGGGTGTTGAGACATTAGAACAGGTTGCCCAGAGAGGCTGTGGATGCCTCCTCTCTGGAAGCATTCATGGCCAATCTGGATGGGGCTTTGAGCAACCTGGTCTAGAAGGAGGTGTTCCTGCTTGTAGCAGGGTGGTTGGAACGAAGCAATCTTAAAAGTCCCTTCCAACCCAAACCATTCTATAATTCTGTGATTCTGTTAAGAAAAAAAAGAAAAAGCAGTGCAACACTGATTGAGAATATCCCAAGATTATGTAGTATTCCTGTAAAAATAAATAAATAAAAATGAGAGCTACTTCAGATAATAACAGGAAGATATAGGGCATAAAGAGTTCTGAGAAGGAAAAATCAAAATGTTCATTTTCTGGTGTGCAAGAAATTAAAAAGTAACTATCAATGAACATCTTAAATGAGATCTGTTTCATTTTTTAAACAGCAATAATCCATCATATTGGGTATGGAGCTGTGGTGGTTTTCTATGGCATTTCTATGGCACCTTCCACTGAAAACCTATTCTGAGTATCTGTAAATACCAGTTTGAGAAATAATACACTTTAAACTACCATAACTTAAAAAAAAAAAAAAAAAAAAAAAAAGTGGGCTAACATGGGATGGAACAGAAATGCTTAGATTCAGCTTTGAAGTAGTCTAAGCCAACTGATGTAAGGTATCCACATGGAGATTAATTATGAAATGTCTAGTGAGCTGGAAACTTACATGCTAACTTAGTTTGAGGTATACAGACCATCCCTTAGGCAGATTCAGTCTCTCCCACATAGCAGGTCTGAACTGCGGCCATTTACAGTATTTATAATTCATATTGTGTAGGCCAATGCAAATTGTAAAGTGTATCTTGTACAATCAAGCTGTAATCAAAATTCATTTCCACAGACAATCCAAGCATGTCAGATAAGAATACACTTTGAGTGTTCTTAAGAGTAAATTCTAAGCAGTAGATTACCATAGCAAGCTTCTATAAAATGATATTGATTGTATTCGAATCCTAAGTCAATTAATATCCATAGGAAGTATTTGTCACTATTTGCTCAGCTATGACACACAATCAATTCACAATTACATACACTTTACCTTTTATTTTAAATCTGGAAAGGCTAGTGGGATTAAGTAGTCCAGGTAACATACATATAGGTGTTTCCTTTACTTCTCCAATAACAATTAAAAGTACCAATAAAACTGACAAAAAAAAAAAAAAAAAAAAAAGATACTTCTGAAGGTAAAACAATGTAAGAAACACTTCTAAAATGGTATGGTTCTGATACTATACTGATCATGAGAATAACCTATTCTAATGTAGTAAATGAGAAGACTCAACCATGCCACACTGCAATATCTCAAATTGAAATGATTTTGTAAACAAATTATAATTATACACAGCTAATTTAATATATTAATTTCACAAAAATTAGTTTCACAAAAAAAAAAAAACAACACAACACAAACAGCAGAACATCAAAATTACTCCTGTAGTGGTTTAGACTCAGTCATGCACTGAAAGCAATAATTTTGTGCCCTCGTAATAAATTGTCAGTCTAACACATTCACCAGGTTCTAACCAGCTTTATTGTGTACTGTAATGTTCAGCACCAGTTATAACAGTTTGATTTTATATTCAAAGAGCAGCCACACTTTCCCATTGGGATTTGAGTGTTGGTTAATATTAATGTTCCCTTAAAATTGAAGTAATACCCAACAGTCTTCACATTTATTCAATCTGAAAGCCTAGCCTTCCAAAAAGATCATGTCGATGTGATGCTACATATTTTTGTCCTTAGGGTTTGGAGGCTGAACCTTAGAACTGCCAGATGGATGTAGGAAATTTGATCTCACTGCCTGAGCTAGTGAGCTATAGGATGGTAAGCATCTGAGTGGGTAGGAACTCACCTACATAGGTCAGCTGGTAGGAGACTGTGAGAATGAGAATGCTTATCAACAACATCATCCCACAGATGTGAAGGTCTTCCCTGTTGACAGATACAGATTCTAGTCGCACCAAGAGCATTCTGCACTGGAGGCAGAACTGATTTATAGCATATTATGAGAGCAGTGGGTCAGATTTAAAACCAATCCAGTGATGTCTGATTATTTGATAAAATAACTACTG